AGAAAGCGGCAACCAAAATCCTTCGCTTCTGCTTCGCTTACGAACTCACGTTCGGCGTCTCCGACCTCATCCGAATATTGATACAGAGTACCGAAACGGCAAAAGCAGTCGATTACGCATGCTTTCGCTTTCGCTTTGAGTTACAGAGTCCCACTGCTGGTACCACGATGGCAAGCCACCGCCGGCTATAGTTCAGTGCTTGGAAGTCAGATGGACACACAATGTTTTGAAAAATATACTTTTCAGGAGAAAGGTTCATCATGGGTTCTTCTATGCAATCTATGCCAAGTAAGGTCAAAAGTAGGCTCCTTTTTCATGCAGAAAAGATATTTTTTCAGTGACGGGAAAAAAGTTTGGCAGGTTATAAAATGTCACTTTTCATAAGTTACTTTTTTCCCGTGGGAAAAAAGTGAAAACTTTCTTCTCGGATATATATCACATATATATACACTGTTGATGGCTTTTGTTGTGCTATAGTTCCGAAAAATGAGTCAATAATACCGTCTCCGAGAAGTCCTTTCACCTTCGATTCGACTTCGCGGTTACGTATATTACTAAACAACCACTAAATTCGCAATTTTTTGAAATCAAATCACAGAATTAGACTGACAGAAGTGACATCAGATATTTGATTTCTTCAAAAGAATGATGAAGATGCCTACAACGCAGGTGTCCTCACTGTTAAAAACTCAAAATTTCACGTCGACAATTTTCAGATTTCAAAATAATGTAATATCTTCTCCATACAGAAAAAAATAGTGTATTATTATACACAGGAAAAATATTAAAATTTAGTTCACGGTTTTTGTTTGACAACACAACCTGGAGCTAAAATCTACTACTTTTTTCCCTTGTATAATGAAGGCCGAGTAAGGTTAAAAGTAGGTAGGCTCCTTTTTCATGCAGAATGTAGAAGAAATATTTTCCTTCCTCATAACACCTCATAACCTTCTGATATCAATCTACTGATAACTAATAAGATGCCTAGAGACCACTAGAGACTCGTTTAACGAGAACGAGGCCCCTATGCCCTATTCCAGATCATGCCCAAAACCAGTATAATGAAATCGGCAAACAGTCAACTTGATGGCAAGCGAGAATACTTTTTGAAACCGCCATGGGTAGCGCTGCTCTTCATGCCTAGCAGGCACAATGAACTTAATATGACGTTTACAAATAAAACGAGAAATTTCAAAAGCATAATACTAGTTAAGAATCTAGAAAATGCATCAACTAATATTTGGAGCAGTGATTGTGGTGATTGAAGAAACTTCTCTGAGATCGACATAGTTTATTTTTTCTGGGAATGAACATATGAAACCTATCTTACTTGAAAGAATCATGAACTATAGTGAAACTCACTCAATCTGATTTGATTTTTTGACACCTGTCAACAGTCATTCCACATCATTCCTTGTATGAGATAGAGTCCCTGTATATAACTTAGACAAGAGTCCGGACACAGCTATACTTCTGTCCTTTTCTGTTTTCAAAAAATGCATTGATGATTGAATAAAGGAATAAGACATATATATCGAGCTCTGTCTTCTCAATTCCCCTAGTATCAATGATTGTCAGAAACCGTTTTGAGGGTTAGATTAATTGTCAAACCGTTCATAGCCGTAGGATGAAGTGAGAAATAGGGCTATTTTAACTAGAATAACTATTAGATTTTCGAATAATGAACAACAGGGTGTTCTGATTTCGAATCGATAATTCTCATAATCAATTCCTGAGATGGCTATTGCAAATTTTTGTCATCAGATATTTCTTTTCTTCATTAGATATAAGAAAGATAATTCAAGTGTTCTACGTGGTATCATATAGTCAAGAAAATATAGTTGTTTTCTGTTGGGATATAAAAAAATAGAACATATTCAATTGTTTCAATATAATTTTCTCCGACTCTCCCAATTCAATAACACGCACTCATCAGAAATAAAAGTGACAAAATCAAAACAACAATATATTTGATAGCGAGTGCTTTATTAATTGTGTTTCCCACCTCTTCCTGCAGTCTACATTCAACTGTACATTTTGAATTCGATCTGAGTTAATAACACCGTGAACTGATGATATAGCACATTGCAGTTTCCCTAAATCTTCTAGTTTTGATTCGAGTTTTGATTTCAAACTTTCAATTTCTTTCCGCATCATCTCATTCTCATTTTCTTTCTCTGCGAACGTATCATTCAGTAATTCCCAATACGATGACGACGGGACTCTTTTTTTGAACGTCTCTATTTCATGAATTGACGGCAGCAGACTCTTTCAATTTGAAATCCATCAGCTTGAAAAAATCTCTATCAAAATGGGCCTAAAATTCATCTTTCTTGTACTGTTTTTACAAGTTGATTTGAATATTCACCTCACATATTGCGGATTTCTTAAAATTAATTTTCCATTCTGGACGTTTCATTGCATTCTTCCATGACATTATCTTCAAAGGATCATTCGAAGAATCGAATAACTTGAATCCCTTTTCTAATGAATTATCGCAATAATGTACGCAGCAGGACATTGAAATAATTTAAAATGCTGAATTTTGGCAGTCATAAAATTTCAAAGTGACAGTGACAGACATTCGGAATAATTAAAAAAAGCGGGCGAGACGACTATGGTGTTTTGTCACATTGTCAGGTGCGCAAACCAAATGAAACAAAATATTAAAAACCCCAACGGCTGTCAGTTTTGTGTCCGGACTCTTGTCTAAGTTATATACAGGGACTCTAGTATGAGACGGTATGGAAAATAGCAGAGATCAGTCACCCATTCTGAAAGTAGCAACCGGAATCGGAAAGGTTGCAAATTAAACGACACATCAAACTGATTCCGGTGGCGGAATCAGATAAATAAAACGCAACTATAACTTCTAGAATATCAGGTGAATCAAAATAAATTTAATACCGGTAATGGTAAGTGAAGAGGGCAAAACTGCATTTATGCGATGGTTTTTTTTTCGAAAATTTTTTTGGTACTTATGTATTTTTGTCTGAAAAACACGAATTTGACAATGATATTGGGAACAAACCACTATTTATCGAGATATTTCAAAGTTCGAAATTTCGACTCCTTTTTCCCCTTGTGTTGGATGCATTTACAGGTACTTGCTCTTCTTATTTTGTCATTGGACACTTTATATACTCATGATGTACTTCGATGACACATTTTTATTCAGAAAATTCAACAGGAAATATGATTTTTATGGCGAGTTTTTCATATTTAGTGAACAAGCATACCATGCAGATGACAGCAATTTAATTGATAGTCTAATCCAAATACGAGATGTCAAATGTCAACAGAGTTCTTTCACCATTATTTTAAGATACTGTCTACACGACCGCCGCGGCGGTTGGATGCTGATTCATAAACGACCGCCGCGGCGGTTGGATACTGATACATAAACAACCGCCGCGAGGATATTTCTTCCTTCTTCATAGAGAGTACTTCCGAGCAAAGCGATAGCTCAGTTGAAAATTCACCTGACCACCACACCTGTGGCTCGGGTTCAATCCCCACTAGGCCTTATTTTTTCAAAACTTTTTTTCACAAATAATTTCTCGAAAAATATACTTCTCAGGAGAAAGGTTCATTTAGGTGAGTTAGGTCAGTTTGTTTGAAAAAAGTAGTCTTCTTTTTGATGCAGAAACGATATTTTCCTTCCTCATGTCTCACGGCGGTCTTCTATATAAAAATAGGTAACCGCCGGCGGTTGTTTATGTTTCAGTATCCAACCGCCTCGGCGGTCGTGTAGACAGTGCCTTATTTTAAATGATATTCTTCCTTCTTTTCTGAGTTTGTTTTCACTAAATATGGATAAATCACAAGTAAATAAATCATCTTTCCAGTTGACTCAAATAATAGAAAAAAATGTGTTACATTGATATATATAAATTTTCCAATATTGAAAAAAGAAGGGTAAATTGTTTTGAATGCAATCCAGAAGACAAGGCGGAAAAGACAAATGTAACTTTATAGTGAAATATCTTGATAAATAGTGTTCACATTTTCATTATCAAATTCGTGTTTTTTAGACAAGAATAAATAAGTACCAAAACAAATTTTCGAAAAAAAAACCATCGCATGCTAAATGCAGTTTTACCGTGAAGAGGAGTAATTTCCTATTTTTCACTTTTTGGTCACTTTTGGTTTTGAATTTTTAGATGAAACAGTATATTTTAGTAATATTTTTGGATTTCTGAGACAATTCTGGATCAGAATGTGACATTTTCAAAAGTATTGCATGAAATTGAAGAATACTTTTACTCTTACCTCATAAAACTCATAAGTCATTGTCATTACTGAAATGAGTCTTTCTTTTTTTTTTCAAAGAAGACTTGATGAGAATAAGTGCAAAATATTAAAAATATCATGCATCATGGCATCGTGATCATGGCTATCCAAGGTACAATTTGACAAAAGTTAATAATTTTTATCCAGTATTTTCCTTAGTATTAGTTAATAATTTTTATCCAGTATTTTCCTTAGTATTATTCAATTAATGTTCTCATTTTGAATCTAATGGCAAATAAATTAGTATCAGTTTCTTCAAAAAAACCTTTCATCGAAAAGTGCTCGTTATGAGGTCATGGCCACCTAGATGCAATATTTATAAGTCTCTTAAAAATTAGGTAGGCATGAAAACTTTCAGAATTGTCACATTCTGATCCAGCATTGGCTCAGGATTCTCAGGAATCCAAAAATGTTGCAATATACAGGGTAATCTCTCTTTAATAATTCAAAACTGGAGCCATTTCTGTTGAAATCGGAAGTGACCTGAAAGTGCAAAATATGCAAAAGCTCTCTTCTCCACATACCTCATTTTGATACATCTTTATATTCTAGAAGTTATGACTTGTCTAATGGATTCGTTGACACCTGGTGTAGCTGAAGCTGGATGATTGAAACAATAATTTATCACAATTATATTATAAAAATATGTAATTTATTTGAAAATTTAATAAAACATTTAAAAAATATATTATAACATAATGTCACATAAAAATGCATGAAGATTGACATTTTATTTACTCTTAGTCTGATAAACGGGAATAACTCTCACAACAGCTTCAAAAACTTCTTGTTCAACAAAAATATGGACTTTAAATTGTTTTTTTTCACATTCAGTGATCTGATACTTAAGAGTAATGATACATTCTCCATTGGGAAGAAGTTCTCCTTCAGTAGGATTCACCTCTAACCCTTGTGGAGATGCACTTATTTCAAAATGTAACTTTTTATCAGATTCTGATGAAAAAAAGAGAGAATCAGTAATTTTAGATGGAGGAGTTAGGAAAATCACTGAAGGTTCCAACCTACAAGAACTATTACCAATGAAGCTCTCATTAGCTACTATAGTATCTTGATATAAAGACTGGAACAAACCAGATTCATCAGAATACTGTGGCATAATAGTTTGATCAGGATCCCTTTCAATGGTGACAATAACTTCATGGCAAGTAAACAACTTCAGAATATCCTTCATGCGGTCAGTGCTTTCTTGAAACTTGACCAGATCAGGAGGCATAACTTCACCTTGGAGCTTATTTCTCAACACATTGCTAAGAGAATCTAATGTTGAACCAGCCTCAATACATTTTCGACACAGTCTTCTTAGCCGACCTCTGTCAACCTCAGTCCCAGATGTTATCAACAAACTACCCAAATCCATGACAACAGTTTCCCCCAAAGAATTCTGCAAAGTTTTGTAATCTTCTGCTGAAGGTTGATAAGTAACAACAACTTCTTTTTGTTCACCAGGAATAAGTACGAAAAAGTTAGGAACTACAGTAACATTTGAAAGCTTTTTTGAATTGAAGGATATATGAGCAAAAGTAGGCAACACACCAGTACTCTTCACTTCAAAAGCACTCCTCTTACTATCCAATTTGCCAAGGGAAAGCCAAAATCTCCCAGTTGTGTCTCTTGTTAAGTTAGCAAACTCAATTTTACCATAGCCTCCATATCCAAAAAGCCGAACACACTGCTTCTTTGTTTGCTGGAGCTTTGGTTCTAAAGATGTGAACAGTATTTCATCCATAGCTGCTCCCACTCTTGTTGGTATGAAGGAAATCAGTATTGTTTTTGATTCATGGGGGTGCAATATAAGCTTAACTGAACTCAATGCCTCACCATCCACTCTATTGTCTTTCATAATTTTGAACTCTTGACCAAAAATAGATAACTGCAGGCCTAGTCTTTTTGAACTTCTGTTTCTTATTATAAAATCTTGTGTTATTGATTTGCCAAGTTTAATGCATCCCCAAATCAGATCACATTTGGTAGTATCTATTGGCAATTTCCCATTTGTCAATGAAGTGAGAGTGCTGGAAGCACGACTGGAAGCTCTTGAAGAACTTTGTAGTGGAAGTGATGAATTTTTTTGACTTGTCCTGATATTCATAGTATCCAAGTTTTCTTTATTAACTATACAATTCAGAACCTCATTGTCAGAATGATCACTAGTATAAGAGGAATTCTTGCTAACAGGCAGGCTAGAATTATCATCAGATTTGTTCATAGAACTCCTGATAGATTTTACATCTTGTTTAGATAGTTCATCTACTACTTTTCTAGGAGTGTCTTCTGTTTGAGCTAAATATTTCTGAATAGCTGTTATACTCAAACTTTTATTTTCATTGATTTGAATATCTGAACATTCACCTAGTATGCTATGTGACACATCTATAAGAGGTACAGGTTTCTTTGTTTTAACAGGGCTTTTAGCACAAGATAAGTCAGAAATGGTATCTGACCTGCATTGAAAGAATTCTCCTAGAGACATTTTTCCAATAGATGATTCCAAGTTGGAGAACTGTTCTTCTTGAATTGGTAGAGCTTCTTTCATTTGCCATGACATTTCATCAGCTAAGAGCATACTGGCTGCATCTTCTGCAGGAATAAATGCACTACTTGGAACATCACATTTTGAGGAATTCATAGCTTTATGAAATTCACTTACAAAATTGTCTAAGCTAATGCTAGGGTTTTTAATCTTCAATGAAAGTTGAGTGAGGGAATCACCTAGACTCTGACGCTCAATGGAATTGCGTGGTGTAGAAGTATTGACTGGTGTTTTCAACAAATCACTCTCACTAATGGTACTTTCACAGGAAAAATTCATCTGAGTAGCAGATTCTGTGGATACAGATCTAAGATATTTAGAAGGAATAGATGCAACTTTGTTAGCTCTATAAAGTGAGTCGCTAGCAAGCTCTCGTTGCTGCTGTAAATGAAAACTGATACCTGATTTTCGATCTAAACTTTGTCTCATAACTCCCTCTTCCAGTAAACTTAAAGAGTTTTCATGGTCATACTGTTTAACTTCTCCTCTTTTATTGGATCTTCTATTAACCGTTGATGATGCAGTGGGTTGAGGAGTACTTATAACTGTTTTATTGAAATATTCAAGGGTTCTTTCATCCATTTTCTTTTATCTCCTGAAAAATTCCAATAATTAGCTTTCAACTGAAAAACATCATAATTGTTGCAGTCACCAATAATAGAATAAGAAATCTCACGCACAATTTCAATAATTTCCAATAATTTTTCAAGAAAAAAGAATTTATAGTGTACTAACGGTAACGGAAAAGAGAGAATGGAGAGATTCAAAAAATAGCGTATCTTGTTTATGTTTTTATGTTATATTGACATTGTTGACATGACATTGTTGTCACGTTAAAAGAAGCCAATTTAAGTGCGTCTCCGACCAGGACCGTAATGTGGATGTCGGCTTCAACAGGCACAGACATATGACAGACACACGCACGTATTCAAAACGCCCCGATAACAGGCAGAGAAGAGCTTTTAGACCAATCAGGTCGATTTTGGCCCTGGCGGTAAATTCGAATCGCGGATCTTGGCGATTCTGAATTACCGAGTCATACATCGAATAATGATCAATGCATTATTTCCCAAGTGTCCGGTAATATTGATTAGCAATTGTTGAAGCATGTGATAGGAATTAGAGAATGACATTTAGGACAAATTGCTGTAACTAAAAATATATTTTGGTAAAACTGCATTTATCATGCGACGAGTTTTTCGAAAATTTTTGTTGGTACTCATGTATTTTTTTCTGAAAAACACGAATTTGATAATGAAAATGTGAACGAACCACTATTTATAGAGATATTTGAAGAAAAAGTTCGAAATTTTGCCTTCATTTTCCCCTCGTGTTAGATGCATTTACAGTTACTACTTGGTCTTTTTATTTTGTCATTGGACACTTTATATATTCATGATATTCTTCAATGACACAATTATACAGTGTGACTCACTTCTAATGGAACCACCCCTGTATGTTACGTAATCGTTGGGTAAGGATCCTGAAATTGGCTGGAGCGAGAGATATACCTACCAAAAAATAAATGCTCGCCAACAGCCATGAAACTACCCCAATTTCCGGAAAATGATATTAGGAGTCAAAATAAGTCGAAAATCACTTCAGATTTGGAATCAGGACGCCCAATTTACTAACTATTCAAATTTTTCCTGGAAAATTTTCAGTTCGAAAAAATGAAATTTTGTCGCATTGTTAATGGAAGCACCCTACTGTGCTCACGTAATTGACTTCATCTTTGGACTTTCTCTTCCTCCGGCAAATTTCAGAACCCTACCTCAATAATTACGTCAATGCTTTTGAATGACATTACACACGCCATTATTTTAAATGATATTCTTCCTTCTTTTCACTAAATATGGATAAATCCCCAGAAAATCATGTTTCTAGTTGACTCATATAATAGAAAAAAATGTGTCGTATATTTGTGATATACATAAATTGTCCAATGATGAGAAAATATCGAAGAGCAAATTGTTCAAAATGCGATCCAGAAAACAGGCAAAAAAGAAGTTGACATATTGTAACTTCATAGTGAAATATCTTGATAAATAATAGTTTGTTCACATTTTCATTATCAAATTCCCGTTTTTCAGACAAAAATACGTAGGCACAAAATTTTTTTTTGAAAAATAAACCCATTTTGCATGATAAATGCAGTTTTACCATTTCCTTTATTTTCTTGGTCCAAAGAGGAAGTAAGTTCTATACATATATTAACACAGATATTATTATTGTGATTGTATATTGGGTGAGGTGCATGCGTATTCTACCTCTATTTCCGATTTATTGACATTGAGTCGATCGAAATTAATACTCTTATCTTAATGAAAATCTGTCATCACTTGTGGTCCAGAACTCCAAGAGTAGTTTATGATGACTCCAATGTCCAGAATAATTCAAAATTCGAAACATTTCGAATTAATGTTTATTCCAAATTGAAATATTTGAAATATTAATTTTTCATTCAATCAATTATTCGCATGTTTTATTCAAATGAACCTTTAAAATGAATGTGAACTCTAATCAAGAAACCAAAACAAACACTATGACATCCAGTAATCATGTATTATTTTACTAGACCGACTTTTGGATATCAAAATGGGTGCAATCTCTTGCAACAAATATTTTAGTACTTATTGTTATTTTTTTATGAATAAAATTATTTGTCATAATATTTTTTCTTTATTTTGAAGAGCGTTCAATTCTCTTTCCAACGGTTCCTCACTTGATAATCAATTTTTGTTTCAGCAAAAATTTGTCGGGCAAATTGAAACGATTATAGGTAGGTAGTATTGTTAATTCAGATTTATTTGTTGAGCAGTTCAGTGATTCCTTTTGAGTGAATCAACTGTGAAAAAGGTTTACAATCTTCGAAAAAGAATTGGTTGGAGACTGTGCACGAAAGGCGTAATTTGTCTTTAATCAAAGACATCTGAATTGTGATGTAGTGTGTATGTGATTGATTTGGTGACCAAGTTTTACTAAACTGGTTCGTTGAAAAATAAAAAAGAAAAACATCAGGAGAATACTAAGATGATGAAGCTCTAATGAAGCATCTCAGCAAGCGTTGACTTGAGAAAAAAAAAGTGACTTCCCCATCTATCCTTGTCTTGTGTTCCAACATAAAATGATGAAAACTTTATGTTGGCGACACTAGAAATGAGAAGAAATGGAGAAGACCACTCTGAACTTTTTTATATTGAGGTTGATATGATCTTCTCAATTTTTCCACATTTTCGATGTCATTAAAATTTCCATTAGTTTACGTTGGAACACTGAAGACAAGGATAGATGAGAATACATTTTTTTCTCTCTCAACGCAAGCTGAACAGCTCTATTGAAGTTTTGGACACATTTGCTGCAGAGCCCATACAGCGTTTTGCTATTATATTGTGTAATGATAACAGGTTTGTTCTCTTTCGAAAAACAAACAGTCCAAAACCATCAGGAGCATACGCAGTTTCACAGAACTGTTGGTATTTTTCATGTTTCGTGAAACTGCGCATGCTTCTGATGGTTTATTCAGACTGTTTATTCTTCGAACGAGAACAAACATGTATTAATACTCGTTGAGAACAGAAGTTGTTTTTATTAATTATAAACAGACGACTCATTAACAACGTCAACAACGTGAGAACTACTTTCCCTCCCCTAGGTGACAATAATATAACGAAATCTTGTAATCTAGCTGGAAGATTTCTCGTCCTTCTCGAAAGACTCGATATTTCCTGGTCCACTGGTAATTCCGTTTCATTTCGTGATTCTGTGTCGTTCGAATCTGTAGATTCATTTTCTACGACATCACCTAGGCGACTTTCCGACACAACTGGACTCGGAGCATTCTTTCGACTTCCTGCAGAAATGACTGGAACGCTGGAACCGACTCAGGAGCATGAGCCTCTTCCGGCAGGTCACCCTGTCTTCCTCGCATTTGGTTCACATGCATGTGCAACGAGTGTTCATCTGGGGTTTCTAATGCATACAAAACCGTTCCTATCCACAGCGGAACTCCATTTTGTGCCAGTTGCATTATTATTACGAGCAAAAACTGTATCTCCATCCTGGAACCGTCGGCATGGTAATTCATCGGAATGGTAACCATGACTATGATTTTCCATTTTATGAAAATCTGGATGAAGATGATCCACTCTACTTCTTAGTTTTCGGATCATCAACATTTCAGATGGACTGCGCCCAGTAGTTGCATGCGGTGTAACATGTTGCTACAACAACAACCGAGATACTTTGTTTTTCATACCTCCATTGCATTTTTTCTGAGTTTGTTTAGTAGGCCAGGCAGAGAGAATGGTCTCTGCCTGGCTGTTTGACGACGTTGTGATATGGTGAAATTCTTGCATCACGTATCAAATTAGTGTCCATAAATGCTTGAAATTCGATTGAGGTGAAGGCCAACCCGTTATATGATACTATTACTTTTCATTCATTGCCACTGTTGCCGGGGTAGCAACCGGGTGGGACTAATTCCCAACCCCCTTCCACAAAACTCCCCTAGAAGATTACTGCCGCTCACCTATCCTTCGACTAATACTGACAGCACCCCAGGGAAAAATGGAAGATTTGGATACGCCAAATCAGCGCGCTAGAGCCATCTCCGTTATGAAACGGCATATTCTCCTGCTACTCTTTTATTATATCAATGGTGAGGCCGTCTGATAAGACAGACTACTGGCTCTGCAGTGTCAGTGCCCGAGCAGAAGATGCTGCTCACCAGGCAGGCAAGATATCTTCCCACTCGACCCAAAATTGGTTTCTTCTTCACCTCCTCTACCGTAGTCCGGTGGTGTTTTTCGAAAACCGCTGCCCCCTGGAGTTCAACCCAATTGGCAATTGCAACCTGATGGGGCTATCCTCATCACCCCAGGTACCCATGTCAACAAGATTCCTCTTATTACGTTTGATGGGTCGCCGTCGCAAGAGGCTTTCGCCTGATTGCTACTCATGTTGACAAGAATCCTCTCGTCCCGTTGAATGAGTGAATGATCGTTCGAGAACTTTAACACGTTCTTCTACCTCGTTTACAGGAAAGGACTCGGCTTAACCTATGATGTCAGGCGATTGGATAACTTTGGGCTACCCCTCCCCCCCCCCAGACGAACTAAGGCACAAGGTACACCAAAGTTCCAGTTTTCGCTGAGCAAGCCCAGCTACCCATATCGACCAGAATCCTCCAGTCCCGTTTGATGGGTGTCCGTTGCGGCCTTTTACACGTTTCGCTGCCATGACAGTAGTGGGGACCTCAAGCTTTTAACCAGTGATGTCTGGAGTCACCTGAGGCTACCCCCCCCCCTCCGACGCCGTGAGTACATGACGTACGTGAGTAAATAACTCACGAAGTACAGTTAACGCTGACTGCGACGAAGTCGATTTCACCGTTCTCACTTCCCCCCATTTGAAAAATGAATCCACTACTATAAAGAAATATATTCCCTGCATCGGACCAGCAAAATCGATGTGGATCCTAATCCATGGTTCCAATGTCTTCTCCCATGGATGAATCATATCCCGAGGAGGCATATATTTCTGTTATCTTGACGGACTGAACACTTTTTTCGATATCAATGTCAATTTTTCGGACACCAAACGTGAGATCTCGATAATGCTTTCATGCGAACTATGTCGGGATGTGTGCTATATGGAGTATTTCTAAAATAGCCTTCCTATCTCCTGATGGAATGATTATTCTTTCACCCCACAGAAGACAACCATTATAAGTAAAAATGTACCTCCTTTTTTTCCAATACTATCTCACACGTCTGCTTCAGGAATATCAGATTCATTATCTGGCCACCCACGGATAGTCCACTGCATCACTTTGGAAAGCGTTGCTAGAATTTGTTGAACCGACGGAACAGGATAAACATTCTTCAACAGTGCCTTTTTCAGGGTGACCCTATAGTCCCCACATATGCGGATGTCATTGTCGGATTTTATGACTGTAACTATCGGTGTGGCCTATTTTGTATGATCCACTGGTTCCATTATTCCTCGTTCAACCAATGTATCTAGTTCTCGAGGAATCAATGCGAATGGCATTCTTCGGACCTCAAATAGTAAGGGTTTCACCTTCGAACCTAAATCCAGCGAAATCAGCGGTCCCTTGAAATGACCCAACTGGACATCAAAAACCTCTTGAAATCTCAACAATAACTTTCGGGCTCGGTTTCTCGGGCATGTAATGTTTTCTCAGCAGCTTTGGTTCCGATCACCGATATATTCAACGATAAGAACCAATTCCTGCCCAATGATAGCTATCGCGTCTGACTACCAAACACAACCTGCACCTCGCAACATCTCAGAGTTTCAATAACATTTCGCTGAAAATCTTGTAAACTGAAATCTGTTTTTCGGGTTTTCTGTCAGGAAATATGCCATGAAAGTACTCTGCGCCAATTATAGAATAAGCTAAACCACAGTTTACTTACTGGAGCGCAACTTAGTATTTGTTCGAAAATGTCTGTTATTGTATTCATGTTTGTTCACTTAATGACAATAAATACAATTTATTATTTATTATTTCTATCTACATCCATCACGATCTGCTTCTTATTGATAATCACAGTCACTTTAAAATCAGCAGATACCTTTGAACCCACTGTATAAATACAGGGTTCAAAATTGTCTTCTTGGCTTGTGCTGTCAGAGATTGTAATATCATTGAAAACAGACTGAATGGCATCTACTCATTTTTGGTTCGCCCTAAGCAAGGGTTGATTTTTGTTATTATAGCCTCGCTTCTTCTTGGGCAAACAAACAAACGGCCTTTTTGAATGAACAATCATATTATGCGCAATGTTGATTGCCACAACGGTAACACTTCAATGGGTTTATGCCATATTTATTGGATTCCAAGGTGATTTTTTTTCTTGATTTGCATAATATCTGTACTGCATTGATATTTCAGGAATGGGAGTTATCCGTGTAAATTACCTGATGTTGCCCTTTGTTCTATAAAAAAAGCACTAGTCAAGTTCTTTGAATCAGGGAGTGGACAGCAGAGGCCGAAAGAAGACACGACTAGACAGTAGAATCACTCGACCGCCTACTATGATTTCTCTACGTCACAACGAGCGAGACGTTGATTCTACATTTTTCCGCTAGATGATGATGCTGCTATTGCTGCTGTGACGAGTGGAAATAAAATGGCAAATGGCATTTTAGGTATGCGGAACATATGTAACAGTGGGATTATTCAACTCTCAATTCGAAAAATCTGCGACAATTTCAAAACTGACAGATGTTATAATTGTGCAATGTCGCCATCTATTAGAAGATCGACGGAACCATTGCTCTCGCTGTTCTCGAGAGGTCGAGTAAAATTTCTGAAACAAAAGCGCATCAGTAATCACACCATATCTTACTTCCATCATTAGCTGGAGTAACACTTATTATTGCTAGATGATGGTTTCTGGTAGGTTATTATTCTGGATATTTACATTCTTTTCTCAAGATTACTTTGGTTAAGACAATTCGAGGTATTATGATGAATGTGTTTGGTAGTTTCCCGAATAACTTGCTGAGTCTGCGGCGGAAACGCTGAAGTAAGTATAGGTTCTACTTTTGTTGAACAATGAAGTTTTGGAAGGTTTTTGAAGTGGCTGTTTGGATGGCAAATTTTGGTGAGAATTCTTAGGGACTTTTTTTTCTGATACTTTCAAACTCCTTAATGGGGCATTTTCGACAGGCTGAATAGAATGAACCCATATTCATATTGGGGGTTAGCGTATGGTCTATATATGGTGTTCCTAGATCATGAAACCTGTCCTGCAGGAGAAAAAAGCTCGAATTCAAAAAATAAAGTCTGAAATTCAGAGATAAAATTAAATTAACACAATAAAAGTACTGACCGTTTTACGCTTTTCATATAAATCACTGAGCTTTCGTTGAGAAATGTCAATGAATTATGAAATTACAAAATATTCCATCTAGTGGATGGTGTTTATTTTACTGAATTTTTTAAAATTAATGGTGAAATCTAGTGGTTGAGGACGCATTCGAAATGCCCCATGTTTCATATAGTATTTTAATTTCAACAATGTAATACTGGAGGGAAGTTTTAATAGAAAATCTAGTTTTAACTGAAATCGGTTTCTATATAACGATGTCCGATTTTGACTGTGTTTGTACGATCTCAAATGTTGTTTTTTATTTATTATCTCTATGTAACATAATATACTCAATTATGTCATTGAACTGAAGTTGAAACCACCAGAAAATCACTAGATTTGTGAAAATTTCCGCCTGCGACGTATTTTTTTTCAATTCCATCCGCTTTGGTGTTTTTTTGGTGTATTTTAGGTGGCCAATTTGCGACTTTTGGAAATCTGAGTTGGCAACACAGCTCGCCAGTCCTTCAAAATAACAAACGTCTCTTGCCAGTCATTCAATTAGTAGCATGCTGCCGTGCTGTGGAAAATTTCAAGGTTATCAGGAAGTTATAAAGAAAGAAAATACAATGAACTCAATTCATATTGAGTTTATTGGGAAAATATCGGCTGTGTCAAGTCTGTGGTTTGACCGGGTACATACGTTCAGTATGAATTCTGGTCATCGGTTTGACCAACCAGCTGTCTGGGAATATCGGTCACGTTTCAAACCTGCCCAAAAAGTTACCACGTTAACTTTTGATGGGAGTCGAGTCAACCATTGGCCATCCTAGCATATTCTCATCGGTTATTAGCATGGAGTTACTAGGAAGGCAAGGTGGCTATTTCATCACTGTAAATGCCTGGTGATTGGTCGATTCTACGTAATGAATCTGAACAGTGATAATGGTTCTCCAAATCTCCAATGATTAGACTGATTGAAATGATTGAATAATGAAAATTTTGTCATGAGCTTGGTGAGTGACGTCACTTAACCTCGATGTTTCGCTGGTCTAGCTAGACGCTTGTCGCAGCACAGCAGCAAGCTACTTTGGAATAGATGTCTCTCACCAGTCGTTAAAATAGTTGCTAGCTGCTGTGTTGCGATAAATCTCAAAACTTTAGATCTAGTGTGCGTAACTGTCGGTACTGTCGGTAGACACTCGTATGTTTTCTCGATGTACGACGTATGACACATGACATGAGGTGATGTGACAATTGAAATGACAATTCTCAATAATCATTCCATTCTACATTCTTGACTTGACAATTATTATGACATTTATCGTGAATGCCGATTGCCGCTTGCGATTTTGATTTCAAATTTGGAATAAACTGCTACCTATTTTTGGATAATCTGGAAAATGGATGTAGGAGATACACAGAGAGATGAAAATGATATCGATGAATATTTCATTTACCTTGACTTCAATGGAAAACTGTCTCTAGATAGTTTTAAGAAAGAAGTTTTCATCCGTATTGCAAACCTTCACACCAGTAACCCCATAGTTCAAGTGAATGATAGTGTTTTCAGGGGTAAAACCTATTTCTGTGAGTCAAGAATTATTGGGTTTATCTGCTTTTTTATCTGTAGGTATCTTCGAACACTCAATGGGGACGAATTTATTTTTCAAGACATCTGTAGGTTCTTCACAAGTGTGTGATGCATTTATGAAGAGGGGTCCTGTACTACTAGATTGTGTTCTTGCAGAATCGAAAGTTTTAAATTTGAAGCAAGTAAAAATACCCCCTCGAAAAGTAAAAATTCCTAGAGAACTCAGCAAGATTGAATACAATTTGGATTGGGATTACAACACTTTGCTCACCAAATTTGCTGATGGGTCTTTGAGAATCCAAGATATAGTTAAAAAGGAATTTCATGACCAAGTGTTAGTGCAAGAAGATATAATAGAAAATGAAGATGACAGTGATGAAGAGGAAATGGATACTGTACATGAGGAGGTTGTACAAGAGTTGCCACTGGAAGAGGAATATTTCACACAGAGTTCCATAGAAAAACAGTTAGAGGAAGAATATGAAAAATTGAAAAGTTTAGCTATGAAACCAATGAGGCAAGCCATATTGGAAGAATGTGTAGAAAACTCTGAAATGAATGACAAAAAGGCATATGAATATCATAATCTTAAATGTCAGGTAAGATCTCAGGTAAGATTACCTGCTATTAATTCACTTATGACTGTTCCAACAAAAAGTATGCACCTAGCTTTTCTCCTTTTGAAATTTAAAGCTGATATTCTCAGACAAGTGGAGTTTTCTTCTGAGGAGGACACATTTTAGACATATATTTCAACCTGTGCCTTTCACCTCCTAGCCAGGAGGTGTCCACCATAAAATTTGTAATAGAATGTGGGGTTGAATGATATATTATATGAAATAGCACACAATTATCTTTCTAATGATAAGGAAGTACCTACCCCATTGGTTGAAATTTTCTTGAACAGTTGATGCAAAAATTGTGAGTAAATTAATGTGAAAATACCACACTAGTGATTTTCACACAGTTAAATTGGATTTTTATGACAAATTATCATAGCAACATGATTATATATTTTAGTGGAAATTTGTTTCTTATGGGTACCCACCAGCCTATGAAATCAGAATTTTTTTTTTACTTTTCTAGCTGATAACTTGGAACATTTCAATAATTAGTTTTGCATGAAATCTTACAGAATTGAGTGTTTTATATTTTTCGAAACAGTTTTCAAAAATATTTTGTTTTTTTCCCATGAGCATTTTGCCATTTATATGCCTTTGATGATATCTCATAAATTAAACTTTTTATAGAAAGTTTATGTTTATGAACATTCATGAAGTAAATACATCTGAAAACTCATTTCACATACAAATCTGGAAATATTCATAATGTTTCTTTTTCTCCTGTATCTGATTATGGGGTACATCAGACCCCACCTGGATGATAATGTACAGATTTTTCACCTGGATGACGCCAGGTTGAGGGTTTAAAAGTTAGTTTCCCGAAAATCTGCTCTACAATTTTTCAACTTTAACTAGAATACATGATCAACACTATGGTCTTATGTTTGGGATAAAAAAATCCATAAATAATTTAGATCATATATAAATTGTAAATACAAAGTCCTATTTTTGTTTGTGAATTGTGGATGTTAACACCTTCTGGCTATTATTTTCAGAAAAATCTCTGCCACTTTTGTCAAAAATTTTTGAAGACAATAGCTATCTAACTGAGTACAAATGAAACTAAAAGTGCTTGATATGGGTTTGCTATTTTAAAGGAACGGTAAAAAATATACTTGAAAAATGCCTATCAGTATTTATTTTTAGGTTACAGGAACAGTTTTTTTCTTATTCTCATTTATTTGCTCTATGCATCCAAATAGCATATACAGAGTGGGCCTTTGAAAACGAAACAGAGGCTCTGTAGGTCGCCAAAACCGGATTATGAAAAGAATCTGAAACACGTCATCTACATTTTCGAGGGGGACATCGTCCTACAATATTTTCAGCCCTGCGGCGTTGCCGCTGCTAACGAAAAGAAGCAACAACTTTGTTATTTCAAATGGAACACCTTGTATTTTATTGCATTTTTAGATTCTCCCCGGAAATCTGATTTCATCAATGCATCACACTTGGGGTCTAGCTGTAATGGTTTCAGGGATATAAAGTGTTCAAAATCGAGATTTTTCAACTTTAACATTTTTTTGTGTCGAAACTAATCATTATTGGTCAAAACGACTCCCATGTCCCTATCTCAACTTGTGATTCACTATCTACTAACATTTAATTGGAACAGATACAGGGTGATCAGAATTCTGAATCTTGAACCACCCTGTATTTGTTTCAAATAAATGTCAGTAGATAGTAAATCACAAGTTGAGATAGGGACATGAGAGCCGTTTTGACCAATAATGAATAGTTTCGACACAAAAAAATTTTAAAGTTGAAAAATCTAGATTTTGAACACTTTATATCCCTGAAACCATTACAGCTAGACCCCAAGTGTGATGCATTGATGAATTCAGCTCTTCGGAGAGAATCTAAGAATGCAATAAAATACAAGGTGTTCCATTTGAAATAACAAAGTTGTTACTTCTTTTCTTTAGAAGCGGCAACGCCGCAGGGCTGAAAATATTTTAGAAAGATGTCCCCCTCGAAAATGTAGCTGACCTGTTTCTTTTTTTTTTTATAATCCGGTTTTGGCGACCTACAGAGCCTCTGTTTCGTTTTCAAAGGCCCACTCTGTATATTCTCAACTACTAGAAGCAAAAAAATTATTGATTATTATGTGTATGAAAGCGCTAGTTTATGAAACCCCAGTAAAAACCCAGGAAGAGCTCATACAAAGGAAAACCAATGCTACCCTGCACATAGGAAATGATTTGACAACAAGAATAACAAAGACAGAAATAAGAAGACACTACAGAGCATGTAATTGTTATAGAGGCTCTCACTTTGGACAGGATTTGTAAAAAGTAAATACTAATAGATTTTTTTTATTATTCATTTGAAATTCAAAATAATGAACCCATATCACTTTTAGTTTCATTTGTACCCAGTAGATAACTATTGCCTTGAGGAAGTTTTAACAAATTTTTGACAAATGGCTTGAAGAGTTTTCTAAAAATAACCACTTGAAAGTGAAAGTGTTGATCATATATTCTAGTTGAAAGGTTGAAAAATATACAGCTAGTTTTAAGGAAACTTACTTTTACTTTTAAGCCCTTGAAGTTTAACTTTTGGAGAAAAACAGAAAAAATCGAATATCTCAAAACTATTAACTTTCACATAATGCATATAAGGGTTGAATGCACTACTGACCAGCTCCAGAGGAATGTATTGAATCACCAATAACCCTGTATAGTTCATTGAATTTGTCTGAATGTTACAATTATTATAGGAGTCACCATCATCAGGTCTTACAGAATACTCTTGTCGTCTACAAAGAAAAATACATCGATCCCTTGCTTGAACAAAAAACCCATGCCCAAAGTAGGGTGAAATATATGGAACCCATTTGAAATTAGATGCCTGGTACAGGGTCAGATTCAAGAGGTTTTTTATCAACTTAATAGTGCCTAGATATTAATAAGCTTTCCTTATTGACATACATTGGTTCTTGTTATAAAAAAATGAATTCCTTCAATTTCTAAGAAATTACTAATATCAAAAAGTTCATAACAAAGCTGTTTCAGACTATTAGCTTGAATAGGGGTCTGACATTGTAATTCTTTTGGCCGACCATTTCTCAACTGTCTATTCTGATAATAATAGTAATGTGCCAACATTTCAAAATGAACACCTAGTTGATAATATTATAATAATAATCTCCATCTATGCTTAATTGAAGTTTTTGAGGGTATTCAGAGTTTGAAGAATAAGTAGTATTCCAATGACCCTGATGGTATTCCTCCTGTACTGTTGGAATTATGTAATTGAACGAGGGTCTACCACTAAGAAAGTACGCCGGATGTATCTCGGAAACCATTTGCCGCACAGGTTTCGGAAAAAATAATAATTTCATAGGCTAATTTCAAAAACGGGATTTTGTGAGCATTCGGTAAATCAAGATACGAGTCAAGATATGTTCAAAACAGTTTTATTCACAACCATATAATTATGTGATGTTGTCATTACTAACGTCATTGAAGGTTGGGAAGTGTTACATTAGACACCTCTACTTCCCGCCCTCACTTCCCGCCCTCACTACTTCCCGCCCTCACTACTTCCCGCCCTCACTACTTCCCGCCCTCACTACTTCCCGCCATCACTACTTCCCACCCTCACTTCCCGCACTCACTTATGTAATATTGTAGAGGTATGTTCAGAATGAAACAAAGGTTCATCAATTTTGATTGAACTATGATGGTTGTTTATAAAATAGTATACAAACCACGGTAGGAAGTTTCATTCCTGTCTCGAGATCACTAATCTCACGTCAGGAATGGATCTCTTCCCACATCGGTGTGTAATATACTATTTTTATAATCTCCAGTTGATTTCCAATCATTTTAATAAAAATTGCGCTAGCTCTTCAAATAAATGAAGAAGGGGAGGATGAATAGAGCTATTGAAAAATTCTTATTACTACAGTTTGGTTTGACGGAATTTAACGAACTTGGTCTTACGATGAAGGCATTTTTCAGTTTTTCTTTAGATGAATCACGAATCTATTCGATTTAAATCCCGTGGTGGCTGCTAGATGGCACCAGAACGTATTTAATTTATATTTTCCAACATTTTTTCTATTATATCTCCGGTTCCTGTAGATGGATCAACTTTTTTCCCCATTTTTCTTCTAGTTTGCTCTACTTCCATTTAAAAGTGGTAAAAATATATGTTTCACTCGATGGTTCAATTTGAATTTCCCGAGAATGAAAAATTTACTGATTTTTCAAAAGGTGCCATCTAGCGGCCACGCCGGGATTTAAGTCGACTCGATTTGTGATTCATCTCAAAGAACTGAAGAATCCCTTCACAATGAGACCAACTTTGTTGAATTCCGTTACACCAAACTGTAGTAATAAGAGTTTTTCCATAGCGCTATTCATCCTCCCCTCCTTCATTCATTTGAAGAGATAGCGCAATTTTTTTATCGAAATGATTGGAAATCAACTCGAGATCATGAAAAAACTGTTTTTGGCATACCTTGAATTGGCCAATGCAATTACGCCCTCCAGCGTCCGTCCTGGAAACTTGAAAATTATTGAAAATTATTTAGAGAGATTCTTCTTCGTAACTTCCATCATGAATATTTTTTTTCGAAACCTGTACGTCAAATTACATTAGCCTATTCCATTCGATACCTCTTTAACTTGTCTTTGGATTCTTTTCACTCAAATATTCAATTCAGGTGATCGTGAATTCATCAAAAACTACAGTAGGATTTGTATTTGTCTACTTTACAAAAATTATCAGACGAACTTGTTATTGCCAAATTAACATGGCCTTGCAAAAACATTTTAATACCTCAGCAGCAATTTACACCAACTTCTCCAGGGTATTTGACAGAGTAGACCACAAAATTAAATTAGAGAAACTTCGTTATTTTTGCGTCGTGGATAATATCGTGAAATTGCTACGAAGTTTCTTCACTGGCCGCTCTCAAAGTCAAAATCAATAGTTATATACCTATCCTGGTTACATCAGGTGTTCCTCAGGGCTCTCACTGTGGACCCTTACTGTTCAATCTTTTTTCAAATGAAATTTCAGATATTGAAAACTGCAAGCTTCGTAGTTTTTGCTGATGACCTAAAAATATTTCCCATCATTAGAGATACATCCTTTATCTGTAGTGCGTCCGTAATAATCTCGACCTAAATACCGATAAATGTTTGACAATATCGTTTTCCCGATCTCATAATATTTCCATATATAATTAGAATATTAACAATACCTTTTAAAAAAAAGTAACCGAGATTTAAGACCTTGGATATGGAATCACCTTTGATGAATATCTCACCTTTAAGAGCCATCTACTCAAAATATCAGCATTCCCCAATAGAAATGGTAGGCTTTCTATCGCGTAACACAAAAAATTTTTCATCCAGCACATTGAATATTTTGTACCCCTTGTACGTTCCTTTTGCAGGTTTTGAAGCCATGTGACTTCTTTCGTCAGGAACCTGTATCGAACATTAATAATACTACACTCTCTAATTGTGTAGATATTGATCGTTGTGTAGTGTATGGATTACTGCCGAAATGTTCACATCATCCTCGTGAGATGAGTCAAGTTGAAAGAGATAGAATTCTCACTCTGGAAAATTTTGATAACTTATCAATCGCTGCAAGATATTATGTTCTGAATAAACAAGTAGAGGATTTGGAAACATATATAAAAACCCTACCTGAAACAGAAGCATGTCAAGGAGATGAATATGGTAGAACTCCTTTAGAAACTCTTGACATTTATAGACAACTTAGAGGAGATGTTCGGAAGAGAATAGAGGATATCAAAGTCAGCTTAGAAGAAGAAAAAGAAAATGATGAGGATCGTGAAAAAATGATGGTATTCGAAAATCCGGTTGCCAATTTCTCAAAGAAGTATGTAGATATTAGTAATATATTTAGTATGATCATTAAAATGCACTTCGAGTTTGCTAGCATTGCAAAGAGGTTTATTTAGAATGTTCAGTCAAAGCTGACTTTGACGGTACTAGTATATTACATAATTTGTGTTGTATGAATCATATTACACACGAATGGAAAAGTTAAGCGCGTTGTCACGGAGCGGCGAGTGAGCAATTCCATGAATGCGTAATTGTTTTACAATACCTAACGGAAATTGAATTTCAATTTCATTGTGGAGGGTAAAATCATGTAAATCTTGTAAGCCTTGTGAATATTTCTTGCAAATCAATAGCAAGATGTTAGAGGTCATTAAATCTAATAATCAGTGAAACCTATGTGAACACACGAGAATAATGAACATATCATATTGACATAGATTATCCTATGACCGTCTCAAATTTTCGGTTTTTACTCTTTGATTAATGTTAGTACCAGATAGTAACAGATTTTAGGTACACTGATTTATCTATTATCAGGGTGACATTTCCTAGAAAATGTTTGATTGAATATTCATTTTATACTGTGTCTCTTCGAATTGCATATTCTTTATATATACAGGCTGTTCCAAAATTCGACCGAAAACGCTTGACAGTTGATAGCTCTCGTGATTTCATATTTACTGAGATAGAGACATACTGAATTGGTAATGCATGTTTTCTATAAAGTTGAATGAATTCGAGAAATTTAAATTAATCGAAATTTCATCAGTGGCATAAAAAATATGGGAAGAAAAGTAACCACAACCTTCTGCTGTGCACCACTGGATTAAATGTCCGGAATGACATTCTGGTCAAATAATGACCAATTCGAAGATAAAACCATATTCCGAATTTGAATGAAACATATTCAATCATTCTTGAGTTATTGCAATAAAACTATTTTTGTTTCTCAACTCGAGGACTGAACACCTGAAGACCGTATGTCCCTATCGCAGTGATTATGAAACAACGAGGGCTATCACCTGTCAAGCGTTGTCAATCGAATTTCGAAACATCCTGTATATATATGAGCATGTAAAGATTGAAACACATTCGTTGAAAGCTTGATATAGCCAGTGGGGAAAAAAGCTTCAGGTCTACTTATATTTTTGATGATATCATCACTGTTCGAGTTTCGATGTCATTATCATTTTTTTCAAATGAAAATACCTTATTTTGATAAAGAACGTATTTTTCTGTGTATAGACATACATTTTTTTCTTTAAATTTTCTTATGTTACATAATCGTATTTTCGAGAGATGAAAAAGAGATATCATTCATAATAATGTAATTTATAATGATACTTGGAGCCTGAGCAGCTAAGAAACATCCCCCTGAACAGAATACTGACCTTCAGCGAAGAAATAGAGCTGTTCAGGGAATGACCATGGACAAAAAAAAAGAAAAGAGGTCAAAGATCAAAGATCACTGGTGTTGCCGGGGTAGCAACCAGGTGGAATTTCTCCTCCCTCTCACAAGACTCCCATAGGGGATAGCTGCCGGTCACCTATCTTTCGAGTTATACCGATAGCGCCCCTAGGAGAAATGGAGTATTTGGATACGCCAAATCAGCGCGCTAGAGCCATCTCCGATATGTAACGGCATGTTCTCCTGCTACCATTTTATTATACCAATGGTGAGGCCGTCTGATAAGACAGACTACTGGCTCTGCAGTATCAGTGCCCGAGCAGAAACGCTGCTCACCCGCCGAGGCAGGCAAGATATCCTCCCACTTGACCCATAGTGGGATTCTTCTTTACCTCCTCTACCGTAGTCCGGTGGGGTTTTTTGAAAACCGCTGCCCCCTGGAGTCCAACCCAATTGGTGAGGCACCAGGCCGTATGTACGGCCTGATGGGGCTATCCTCATCACCCCAGGTACTGGTACCCATGTCAAAAAGATTCCTCTTGTTACGTTTGATGGGTAGCCGTCGCAAGAGGTTTTCGCCTAATTGCTACTCATGTTGAAAAGAATCCTCTCGTCCCGTTGAATGAGTGATCGTTCGAGGACTTTTACACGTTCCTCTACCTCGTTAACAGGAGAGGACCCGGCTTTACCTATGATGCCTGGTGATAGGTTCGCTTGGGGCTACCCCCTCCCTGTCGAACTAAGGCACAAGGTACACCAGAGTTCCAGTTTTCGCTGAGCAAGCCCAGCTACCCATGTCGACCAGAAATGACCATGGACACATGAAATGAGGCTCACCTCCACCCCATCCCTTGGCTTGGGCCAGACGGCTAGGGGGCCCTAGCTGGGGACAAGCGGGCTCGGGAGCCGGATTAGTGAGAGCTCTAGCGTTGGAAGAAATAGGGGCTCTGAAACGGACTCTGGACTCGGTCGACGGTCCCGTGCAGGTTCAGGCACTGAGCCAGCACTGGCTAGATCACTGGACTTGAGGGTACCGAAACAGGGCTCACATGGAGACCCATACGCGGAAGTTACTGCGGTCTGGCACCGGGAAAGCAAGCAACCTGGCCCCTCTGGAGGTCTGGAATGAGCCGGAAGGGGGAACACAGGGGTACCTCATGAATGGGAGGAAAACGCCGCCCCGTACAGACAAGTTGTCGGAGGTGTGGGATGAAACAACAGGGGGTAACACAATGGATCCAACCGAGCGGTCTAAGTGAACTGAGGGCTCTATAGAGCTCGCCCTCTGAGTCCAAAATCCAATTTATAATAATGACATCAAAAATATAAGTGGACCAACGAATGCGCATCTGAAAAAGACAATCGACATGTCTGAGCATTTTTTCCTAAAGGCCAATCAAGCATTTAATGAATTTGTTCCAACCTTGACGTGCTCAGTGTATACAGTGAGGACCTAAAAAGTCCCCCCCCTCCCTTTAACTTTTGAACGAAACGAGCTAGTGAGGTCGGGTGGAATTCACGTGAAAATAAGTAACCCCTTTTTATACTTTTAGGCATGAAAATGGTTGTGGTCACGTGGCCTAGTGTGAATAGGACACCATCAAGTTTTTTTAAAAAGCAAACGGAGGTCACGTGTAGTGATGGGTGATACCCAGGTATTTATGATTAAGGAGTATTTATCCGGGTAAATACTCAGAAGCTGGGTATTTATGAGGATATTTATGAACTTTTCAACAGAAAACATGGAAAATTACTATTTATTACACTATTTTTGCAAGTCTAATGTATCAGAACAGGTTTTTCAATTTGACAACCAAAAATTCTGACAAAAATAATGTTTAGATTGAACAACTCTTCATGAACTCACTCCCGTGGTCTGGGATCTGGTATCCGGTAATCTGGCACTACAGAAATGACACCCTTGACAAAAAACTACAATAAACAAGAAAATCTATATTAAAAAAACTACCCGCTTAAAAAAATAACTTATTCATAAAAAAAATGACTCCCATCTTATGTCAGAGGAACAAGGATCAACGAACTTGAAAAACAAAAAAAAACTGACTGTTTCAGTTTTCTCTTTCAAGTCTTGTGTAAGGAACAATAAAATAATGTATAACTTGAAAAAAAAATAGTATATTACATACCGAGGTGGGATGTGAGGAACTGAGGCGCGTAGCGCCGAAGTGAACTAATATTTTTAATTTCGGAAGAAAAGATCAGCATCATCATTCCTCACACAAAAACATATCAAGCACGATCGTTTCTGATATTAAACACTAAATGGGTTGAAATTGTAAAGAAATATATGAAACTCCGTTCACAAATTCAAAATGAGAGATTTTTCATGCAAATGAGATTTGAAAAAAATTACCAATCAAGTCTTTGGACACAATTCCATATCGCAATTTCCGAAAGGAATAGCATCGTTTTTGAAACTAAATAACGTCGGCGAGTATACCGGGCATTGTTTTCGGCGTACAGCAGCAACTTTGTTCACAAACAATGAAGGAGATGTTCTACAATTAAAGAGATTGGGAGGATGGAAATCGAGTACCTGTATTCTGATTGCATAATTTTCTCACATTAATATTGTGCTTCACGTTTATTGTCATGCTTAACATAGAATCGATTGATTGATTGATTTTATTACCCCAAGAAACATATCTGTTTATAATAGAGATACATGAACACATATAAAAAAAAATAATCTTGCCATTTCATTTCAATTCTGAGTAATTAAAACATGCCAAATATGTTCCAATCAAACTTTCCTGACCAGGTTTTGTTTTATTGAATTTGCTTACATCATCTATATTTTTCAATTCATCCGATAATGAATTATACAAAATTATTCTATTATGAAATATAGATTGTTTGCCAATGTTCGACTTGAATGTATTTGCTATCAAGTAATTCAATTGTCTAGTCCCATAAGTATGGACTGTATTAACTTCATTAAAAGCTAAGTTTGATATTTTAGATTTATTCCTGACAAAATGAATAAAATAACATATTTTGAGTTTATATAAAGAAATCAGATTAAGAAATTTTCTAGGTTGGTATAAATTCAATTGATTTATTTTGTAATTTTATCAGTGTTTTGGGGCGTGAAATATTTGTACTTTTCCAAATAGAAATTAAATATTGTAGATTTAAGTATATGAGGCATAAGTAAATACACTTTAGGTATTTTACAGGAACGACATTTCGGATTTTGAATAAAATGCCTGATAGGATTTATTTTATTTCCCCAAACAGAAATTATTCGAATAATTGCAGCAATATTTGAAAATGACAGTTGACAGTTCCTAGAATTGACAGGCCGGAGCTGACTCGAACGACTGAAGGTGTGTTTAAAAAACTGTTTTCATGGTAATGTGTTTAAGAAATTGTGTTGCCATGGTAACGTGTTCAATATTTTCAATAAATCACAGAGCGTCAATCCGTTATTAATCGAACATTTAGCGTGATACATATCCATACGCTAAATGCCATTTTAGTTATGTGAGTAGAAAAACCGATTTTTTGTGAACGGTGAATACTTCGAGCATTTTAGAGTAATTGTTACAATTGTTGCTTTTATTTTCGTGCAGTTGAAAGTTATTTTGGATTTTTATTTATTTTCCAATTATTTGAAGCAAACTTCAAACGAATCTCAATTTGACACGGCTTGGCCGATTTGTGCAAACCATAGATGTGCAAACGGTGTTGGAGCGCACGAAAGGAAATCTTCATAATGCTTTTAAGAATATCGTTCGTACTTAGGGAGGATAGGCCTTCAGAATCATGTACCAACGTGACCCCTCCTTTACATAAAAAAAAAAATTGATGGTAGCCTCTTGACACTAGGCCACGTCACCTCAACTATTATCATGCCAAAAATAGTAAAAGAGGTTCTTATTCACCTGAATTTCACCCGACCTCGCTAGCTCGTTCCGTTCAAAAGTTAAAGGGGGGAACGCTGTGGCGTAATTAAGATTCATTCCCCGAGGGAGGGGGGGATCTAGGTCCCATATCCAATGTTCAGGAAAAAGAAAAGCAATACGTTATTTACGTTGGTTCCAATGAATGTGTGCATCTTTTGGTACCAATAACAAAATAATAAAAAAAGTATTGAAAAATAATCAAATAATATCACATATCAACAGGTACAAAACGGAATAACGAAAATGAAAATTTTGACTAATTCATTTATTGAAAAATAGAAAAATTTAAACTGTTGCATTTTTTGTTTGTTGCAATCAAGCAACTTGTTTTGGGGAGATGAAGAAAATAAGGAAAACTACCTATTCAATATACAGGGTGATCCAAAATTCGATGTAAATATCTTGAGTACGTATTGTTGTGATTAATAAGATACAACGTTTTCTTCATATAATGATGTGGCTTGAAATGCACCTCCTTCGAGCTACAGTCAATGTAGGTTGGGTAAAAAACAAAAGATATCTGAAATCTTGATCATAATAATGAAACAAGTGCAAGTATAGCAGTACCGCACGCCTCTGAAATAGCCGTCTCAAATGCGTTCCGACATGCGATCACCTCCGAATGCAAGCGCTTAACCCATTGCATTCGAAAACGTTGTCGTGACCCCTTTCGTTTACGATTTTCTGGAAAACGGTTAGTTGTATGAAAAAATGGAAGATACCGAATACTTGAATTTTTTATGGCCCACAAGATTATGCTATTCAAAGTCAGATAGTTTCTCTTTTATAACATACAACATACTTTTTGAAGCAAGAAGGAAATAGAGTGTCTAAAAAGACAAGGGCTTGCCAATTTTCAGATGTGATCCGTTATTTTAGTCACAATTTTGGATCATCTTTTTTTTTCACATAACTTAAGTAACTGTAGCTAGAAGGGGGTCCATTTTAAGACACATGTTCATATGAAAAAATACTTTTATTTTGACCCCAACAATATTTCCTTGAAATATTTTCATCGAATTTTGATTCACCTGTATATGGATGTTAAAAAAAAAATATATAGAATATTGTAAACATGTTGGTTTTGTGAGGAATGACCAGCAAAAAAATGATGTTTTTTCTTATTTCCTACATCTCTCCAAAACTACATAGTTATCGTATGTTTCCAATGACAATAACTAAACTCCGATATTCGTTCGGAGGTTTCAACAAATTACAAATCAAATTCTCGTAAAATTTCCTATACTCATGTCTATTTTTCCAATATTAGAATTGTTAACCAAATTGTTTCGGTTTTTCGAACAGCTCTGGGGGGTCCAGACCCCATGGACTTCCCCCTAATTACGCCACTGGGGGGAAAGGACTTTTTACGTCCTCACTGTACATGAGAATCCCGTCATTTAGATCTCCAGATACCGCAATTATTAACTAATATAATCTCGTACATTATTTCAGTGATGGAATAAAAACACCCCCTGACTGACGCATGTTTAATTTTCCAAAATATGGAAATAATGGAATTCATCAAATATATTTCGCAAGAATCATCAGCAACACTATATTTTGTTCTGTGAACATAAATAAGTGCATGAAAACTGACAGTTGATACACATCAACAATGGAAGTTTTTGTTCTGCCAAGAAATCGAATGATGAATGAATTCTGGTTGTGCCAATACTATGACGATAATTTCATGTCAGTGACGTCCGAAATGAAAATGAATTTATCGAGGATCTTAGTAAGCAGATGCGTTTTGAAATCAAATCGAAGGAATGAAAGAGGATCCAAAGAAGTTGATTTTGAACCTGCAGCAGTGTTTTTGGTTATTGTACCTGGTAGATATCTACTTAGTTTTGAGCCCCATATTATAATAAGTATTGTTGCAGTACGAAGTGGTCTTGAATGTAAGTTTTGAAACTTGTTCTGTCTGTGCGTGTCTCGCCATGTTGAAAAAAATAAACAGTATAAATCTTGACAAATTCTATTTCCTGTTTTCCAATGTGAATATCAGCTGGAAAATTTCTGGCTCATTTACATTTTTATTTACATCTTTCTTTGATCTCTAATAGTAGGCCGCTGACTTTAGACATCCTAGCTCG